TAGCTCTTGTAGACCAGCCTGGCCTTGAACTCACAGAGGTCTGCTAGTAGTCTCTACCTGCCAAGTGCTGGGAAAACACCAAACTCTGTGGTCCCGTAACTCACAGTCTTTTGAACTGAGCTCAATTGCCATGGGTAGCGCCATCCCTCCCTTGGGCTGGCTGATCCTATGCCTGCAGCTTTTCTAGGTGTGCTTCTCAAGGTCCTGGCATCTCTAACATCAACAATTTAGATTTTACTTTCAATGACCTCTCAGGGACCCTTTGTAGGGACTCTGGCACTGCCATTTTCACTGTACTATGTAGCCTCAGTGGCTTTCCGGAAACTCAGTACAAAGTTTTAGAACCAGGCAACCTTTGAATTTTTCCACCAAGTTGTGCTATCAAACCAAGATGTAGTCTGGTATTCTGCTGCCACAGGTGAAGTGGCTTCTGTGCACCCTGGTGCTGAACCCAAGAAAACACTTCCATGGGCAGTTGTTTTCTTTCTTTTTAACTTTCTTTTTATTTAGTCTATGTGTCTCTCACATCATGCTTTTTGATCCCATTCATTTCCCTGTCCCTTTGCATCTGCCCTCTGGCCCTATAAACACCTTCCCCAATAAAACATTATTTAAGAGAAAAAAAGGGAAGAAATTAAAAATCTCATCATGGAAGCTGTAGAATGACACAGTGAGTCACACAGTAAAGCCTTTTGTCCATGTATCTTTACTCACAAGTGTTCATTGTAAAGAGTCATTGATTTGGTAGAATCTAAGCCTCTGGTTTCTACACTATTGATGGGACTTTTCTTGGATATCCTGTAGTTGCCTGTGTTGTGGAGATCCTGCAGCTTTGGGTCTGTGGGTCAGGTCCCTTCACACGTTCCAGATCATAGATGGGGGGTTTGTTGATGCGGGCCAAGTCATAACCCTGGTTTTAGGCCTGGGCAGCTGCAGGATTGGTCCACAGTCTACTTCTCCCCTGTCCCCATCACTAAGGTGAGCACTGCTAGAGCTAATTCACCCCCTGTAGCAATGAGCAAGGGGCAGGGGCAGTTCTCCTGCCTTCACACCCTCAGGGCGGGCTTTCCCATACCTACACCACAAGGGCCAGCTCCACTGTGTTGCCCAGACATGGTACAGGGACCATTCTCCAAGGCAGTACAGCTGGTGAGGGCCACTCCCATGACCTGTACCAGCCATTGATGGGTGAGGAGGGAAGTGAGGGAAGGACATCTCTCCTCCACCCATGCCACATATCAGATGAGTAAGGTGGTAAGGGGCAACAAGTAAAGGAGGCATCTCTCCCCCACCCCCACCGCCACATGACAGACAAGCCAACAGGACTGGCTGCTCTATTACCCAGGGCCCGCTCTCCTGAGTCTTGTAGCTGGTGAGGGGCAGGGACAGCTTTCCTGCTCTAGTGACCTCAAGGCCAGTTCTCCCACCCACCCCAGGAGTGGATGGGCAGGGTGGGATGGAGAAGGTGGGCTGTCTTCAAGGGAATCCCTGCAGCAGCATTCTTCACGGATCCTCAGTTAAAGTTCTCTCCTTTCAAAGGAGCTGCATGTTCACAAGCTGGACTCTTTGATGGTGAGTTTCTAGACTCCTGGCACCTTCCTATTATCCCAGTACAAGACGAGAGATTTATTTATTTAGAGATAAAGTCTCTCTATGTCTGTGTCTGTGTGTGTGTTTTGAAACAGGGTTTCTGAGTAGCCCTGGCTGTATGTGTGTGTGTGTGTGTTTTGAAACAGGGTTTCTCTGAGTAGCCCTGGCTGTGTGTGTGTGTGTGTGTGTGTGTGTGTGTGTGTGTGTGTGTTTTAAAACAGGGTTTCTCTGAGTAGCCCTAGCTGTCCTGGAACTCAAGCTCACTTTGTAGACCAGGCTAGTCTCGAACTGAGAGCTGCCTGCCTCTACCTTCCAAATGTTGGGATTAAAGGCGTGTGTAACCGTCACCTTGCTCTGAGATTTCTCTTTACTGACCTTACTTTCTTTGACAATGTTAACATATCCTTCTTACATGTATCTTTGAACTTGCTCATCCTCCTTTCCTCACCAAGCTGCACATTTGAAGTACCTTCCTGTGCTCTCACTGAAGCTCTGATGAAGAGCAGTGAGAGGGAATTATGTCACAGCCTGGATGCCACCTGTCTTGAAACTCCCTCCACCAAACAATACAGTCCATTACTTTTTAATTCATTCTCAGTCAAATTTTCAGAACACAGGCAGAATTCAGCCAGATTTTTTTTTTTTGCCATAATATGACACAAATAAGCTAAATAGTCTATTTCTGGATTGGGTGGCTTCCAGAAACCTTATAACTAGGCCTCTGCTATCTGCATTCTGGGCTTCCAAAGTCCCTTCAAAATGGCTCATAAGATCTGCTGACAGCATTCTAGGGCTTCTGTAGCCGAAGTCTTCCAAACAACAGCACAAGGAGAGAATTTCCAGGCCAAAAGAGAAGACTGGGAAGACAAGGGAAGATTGGACTACAGCAAGACCAAAACCCAGTAGGCCAAACAGCAAACCCTGTACTCTATGTCCAGCATCTGAGGCTTGGGGCATCATTCTTCCTATAAACCAGTTCCAAAGGCCTATTAACCACATGTGTTTTTTTATTTTTTTTAATTACATTTTTATTTTATTAATTTTGTAAGTGTGGGGAAGCATGCCATGGTACATATGTGGAGATATAAGTCTGTTTTCTCCTTCCGCCATGTGGGTCCTAGGGCTCAAACTTGGGTCATCAGCAATCAGGTTTGGTGGTAGGCACTTTTACTCTCCCCTTCCCTCCCCACAATGACGTTTATCACGGCAACAAATCCATGAGTACTAGTTTTCTGTATTATTTTTCTTGCAGTCGTGACAAATATCTGAGAAAACTATTTCAGAAGGGTTTGTTTAGTGCACAGATTGAGAGGTGCAATCCACCACAGCACACAAGTCTTAGCAGCAAGAACACGAAGCGCTTGACCACACTATGTCCATTCAGGAAAGTCAAGAAAGGAATGTTACTACTCAGCCAGCCTCCTCCTTTTTCCTCTTTCATTCAGTTTGGAACCATAGTCCTTGGGATGGTACCACCTACATTCAGGGTGGGTCTTTAGCCCTCAGCGAACCCTCTCTAAAAATTTCCACATTTATAAATGTGAATGGAGTGTCTCCTGGGTGATTCCAAACCCAGTCAAAAAGACCAGGACGATTCACCAACACCCCTACGACATTTGCTCTTCTCTACCTTCTTCACTTTTTTTTTTTTTCGAGACAGGGTTTCTCTGTGGTTTTGGAGCCTGTCCTGGAACTCTTGTAGACCAGGCTGGTCTTGAACTCACAGAGATCCGCCTGCCTCTGCCTCCCGAGTGCTGGGATTAAAGGCGTGCGCCACCACCGCCCGGCCCTTCTTCACTTTATAATGGCTTCACTGTTGTTGTTTTGTGTTATTTGGGACAAGGTCTCCCTATACAGCTCTAGCTGTCCTGGAACTCGCTCTGTAGACCAGACTGGCCTCAAACACACAGAGGTCCATGTGTCTCTGCCCCCTAAGTGCTGGAATTAAAAGTGTGTGCCACCAAGCCCAGCTATGGCATAAACACACACACACACACAGATGCACTTTGGATAGATGGGCAGACAACTAAATTCATTTTCTTCCAAGTGAAGCTTCTGCAGTTCTGATTCCACTTTTTTTTTTTTTTTTTTTTGGTTTTTCGAGACAGGGTTTCTCCGTTGCTTTTTTGGTTCCTCTTCTGGAACTAGCTCTTGTAGACCAGGCTGGTCTCGAACTCACAGAGATCTGCCTGCCTCCCAAGTGCTGGGATTAAAGGCGTGCGTCACCACTGCCCAGTTTAAAGTGTGTTTTTAAGTCATTTTACCTTCCTGGATTTCATCTATACTGGATTAACTGAACTCTTAAGAGGTTATTTCTAACATTACATTCCAGAATTTTTCTTGCCCTCAAAAGGACTTTTAATCATGACATTCATATAGCTACTGTTTTAACATCATATAATGAATGACTCAGTGCTCATTCACTTTCAGTTATAACAGAAATATTTGTAGGTAGAACAGTAAATCCAAGAAAAGTTAATCCAACATTCATATTTCTTACATGTCATACTGTTAAATTACAAATTCCTTTTACTTTTCATTTACTTATTATTTTTTAATTTAAAAATGTGAGAGAGGGCGTATACTCCCGCCACCATCGTTTTAAAGCGAGCATTACAAAAATGGTAGGTGAAGTGTGGAGAAAAAAAAACCACAAACATAAATGAACTAACAGTGGCTGCGGAGCAATCTCAGTACACTGTAAAGATGTTACTCCCATTGGACAGCGGCTGCGGAGCAATCTCAGTACGCCGTAAAGATGATACTCCCACTGGTTCATAAAGAGCTGACTGACCCATGGCTGGGCAGGATAAGGTTAAGCAGGAGAGTAAGACTAAGAGAATACTGGGAAGAATGAGGAGCAGTCCGGGGAAATGCTATGAGATGCGGAGCGAGCACGATGGGAAATATTACATAAAGTAAATGAGCCCTGGGGCAGCAGGTAGATTAATAGAAATGGGTTAAGTTATAAAAGCTGGCTAAAAACAAGTTTAGGCTATCGGCCGAGCATTTATAATTAATATTAAATCTGTGTGGTTATTTGGGAAGTGGCTGGCAGGACAGAAAAGTCCGCCTACAAACAGCAACACAAAAGACATGCTCAGAATACTTGACCAGATTTCAAACAACATGTGGATATGACCTGGACCTTTTCTATTACCACATGAATAGCATGGAAACTCATACATAATGAAATAATCTGAAGGAAGTTTACAAATTTATCATCCACTGCTGAAGTAAAAATTTCAAAACAAATTACCATGTATTCCTGTCATGTATATACATTCTGTGTATACCATGTCAAAGTGTTATGTCTTATCACTGTTATTCAAACATGTAAGAGAGAGACACATATAATTTACTAAGGCAAATACAAACAGCAAATGGCAGTTAGATTTCATGATTCTTACCTGTTCACTCTCCTAGGACACTTGTCTGGTTTAATATCTACCTCATAGAGGTAGACATCAATCTTTGGGATTTCAACTTGAAAACAGTTAGCCAGCAGTTTAATGGGTTTGCCCATAGTGCCATATCCAGGTCTTCTGGGCACTATGAGTAGGGGCTGGGCCCCAATGGGTCCTGTAGGAAGGGGAAAAAAGTGTCCCACAGTTAAAAGCCATCTTTATATACTCCTGTCAACTAGAGTAGGTTACAACTCTAGGTACAGCTGGTAGATGTAAAACTTAGTTCCGAAAGACGACATTATCCTCAGAATTTCTATTTCTTCCTCTCATTTTATTCTCTTCATTAAAAACAAGTAGCTAGGCTCTGGGAGGGATAGACAGAAGGACCACTGTGCAAACTCAAGTCAGCTAGCTCAGAGCAGACCCAGGCAACAAGGGACCAACAGCAAAACCAATGAAAAAGAAAATGAAGAATAAAACTTAATATAAAAAGTAAAATGGGGGCTAGGGAGATGATGGCTCAGTGGAAAAGTAAGTGTACTAAGTTCATCTCCAAATTCAACGTGATGAAATGCGTGTGATTTTATACCTTTGGGCTCATGACTAACCGGACACACGAGCATGGAACTTCTAGTACGCTCCGAGTTGCTATTCCAAATTCCACTCAATTATTCATAAACTCATCCAAACAGACAGCAGTTACAGTCATACTGCCTACGCCTAAATAATCTCTTATACAATATTAAACCTGCTAAGGGTTAACTGCCTCAGATGTTAATATAGGGAAGAATATTTTTTTTCTTATACTTATTTATTTATTATGTATACAATATTCTGTCTGTGTGTATGACTGCAGGCCAGAAGAGGGCACCAGACCCCATTACAGATGGTTGTGAGCCACCATGTGGTTGCTGGGAATTGAACTCAGAACCTTTGGAATAGCAGGCAATGCTCTTAACCTCTGAGCCATCTCTCCAGCCCCAGGGAAGAATATTTTAAGGAATTTTCTCCCTTGAAAATAAGAGCACTCGGGAGGCAGAGACAGGCGGATTCTCTGAGTTTGAGGCCAGCCTGGTCTACAAGAGCAAGTTCCAGGACAGGCTCCAAAGCTACAGAAAAACCCTGTCTCGAAAAACAAACAAATAAACAAAAAAAGACAATAAGAGCTAACATTAAGTAGCCCATTTTGCAATCTATCCATTAACCATTTTGAAAATTCAAATAAACACACATAACTTATTCTGTTAGATTTAGAAATCAAATAGAATAGAGCATCAAAAAATAGTATTTAAACAAAAATGAAATTAAAAATAGTACATACATTTATTGTGAAATTTTTATTGCAAATTTTCTTCTAAAAATGAAAAAATCTAAAAATATCTCATTTATTCATGTTTATAGTCTATAAATACCTTCTGATTTCCCAAGAATTTGACAATTATGAAGTGAATAAAATAAGTGTCTGATATAAAATTAAAACTTTCAGATTATTTTATTAAACTGATATTCCAGTCAAAGCTGTGAACCAAATCACAAAATCAACATAATTATAAACTGATATATATAAATAAACTAATACATGTCAATACCAACTTACTAAGCAAACTCTGCTCAAAGAATAAAAGGAAGCAGTACTTATTTATCTTTTCATTCATTTTACTGTTTGTTAAGCAAACTACAAAACTCCACATTTATAAAAAAGAAAGCATTAATTGTATGAATCTCAATAGTCTTTTTTTTTTTTAAGCATTGGCTAGCCAAAGAAAGTCATTAATATTAACATAGACAATACAGAAAACCGCAGAAACTCCAAGTACAGAAAGGCTGTTCATGTATCCTAACAGCATAATCATTATGGTTAGAACACACACAATATTCTTTCTCACATCTGTTCTGTTAATGAGTCAAGAATGAGGGTCTAGCCGGGCGATGGTGGCGCAAGCCTTTAATCCCAGCACTCGGGAGGCAGAGGTGGGCGGATCTCTGTGAGTTCGAGACCAGCCTGGTCTAGAGAGCTAGTTCCAGGACAGGCTCCAAAGCCACAGAGAAACCCTGTCTCGAAAAACCCAAAAAAAAAAAAAAAAAAAAAAAAAGAATGAGGGTCTATGAGTATCTGAATTAGAAAGTAGGAGTGTCTGGTAAATGCTGTTCATCCTAACACTCTCAGACCAAACAGGTCCAGAAAAGGAGTCAGTTGCAAATAAATTATCTTTTTAGTTTTACTTTCCTGAAAACAGAACTATCACTTTGGCTTTTTTCTCTTATATATTAACTATTTAAAACAAATTACCTTCTAAGGTTTAAGAGCTGTAAAAGAATGTTTTGTTAGATTAACAAAAACACTGACTTCAGTTTTTCAGGTAGAGTAAGGATTTTAAGAATTTAGAAACCAAATGAAACCAGATATCTATATTATAAAGTAAAATAATTTTCAACTAGAATCCAAGAGCTAAAGACAATTTGGAAAGAATTTCCTCCGAGCTAGGGTTTTTCCATATACACGAGGGAACTCTTCCAGGAGCTATTTCCAGGCCTCTTTGCATACTGTCAGGCCAGGCCTACAAAACCCAAACAAATGCAGTGTTCCCAATGAAAAACACAGCTAATACATATTAATACCAACTTATTAGGCAAAATTTGCCCAAAGAATAAAAGGAAACAGTATCTATTTATCTTTTTATTTATTTTAGCTAGTTTTCACAACAGATAGTTGACTAGTTTCTAGCTTGAATTTTAAAAGTGAGTATTGGTTGTATCATAGTGATAGGCTCATGGTTGTTTTTTTTTTAAATACTTATTAATTTATTATGTATACAATATTCTGTCTCTGTGTATGTTTGAAGGCCAGAAGAGGGCACCAGATCTCATTATAGGTGGTTGTGAGCCACTATGTGGTTGCTGGGAATTGAACTCAGGACCTTTGGAAGAGCAGGCAATGCTCTTAACCGCTGAGCCATTTCTCCAGCCCTCATGGTTGTTTTTAAATATCTTCATTATGTTTATAAAACTACATTTTACTCTCTGAGTTCGAGGCCAGCCTGGTCTACAAGAGCTAGTTCCAGGACAGTCTTCAAAGCTACAGAGACCCCTGTCTTAAAACACTCCCCCACCCCCCCAAAAAAACTCTACATTTTAAGGTTAAATTTTTTTTGTTTTGTTTTGTCCTGTTCTTTAAAGTCTTTAGTTTTTGAGACAGGATCTCATTATATACTCCTATCTGACTGGAAGCTCATTATGCAGACTAGCCTGTCATAAACACAGAGAGCCTGCCTCCACCTTCCCAGTACAGGGCTGAAGTGGTTTGTCACCATAGTGGGCCCTAAATTCTTTAAGAGGAAAAAGGGTGGCTATAATCAAAGTACATAATATGCATATATGAAAAGGTTAAAATATACTAAACTATTTTCCACATTATAAACTTATAATTTCTTTAAAAGAAAAGAAAAATAATGCTTCTTGTCTCCTAATAGTCTCTCAGGGTACCCTATCATTAATAGAAAAATTAAATTCTGAAACAATAATCAAAATAACCTTGCATGTTTTTTGTAATTCAAGCTGTCAGTCTTTTTTTTTTTTATTTGTTTGTTTTTTTTGCTTTTTCGAGACAGGGTTTCTCTGGTTCTGGAGCCTGTCCTGGAACTAGCTCTTGTAGACCAGGCTGGTCTCGAACTCACAGAGATCCGCCTGCCTCTGCCTCCTAAGTGCTGGGATTAAAGGCGTGCGCCACCAGCGCCCGGCTCAAGCTTTCAGTCTTAAATAGCAAATGCTAAAATGTTGTAACAGTCATTTCAGGACAGCACAAACAAAATTTTCAGTGATAATACAGTAGGAAAAAACCCTTAGTATTTCCAAATTCCCAACCAACACACAAAGGTGCAATATGACATTTTCCCCCTCAAAACAAATCGTAAGTATAAAATTGTATATGACAATAAACACTTCCAAAATGGCACTGTGTATATTAGTGATTGTGAATCCACCACTCTCAACCTCCTCTTTCAATCCTCCCTCTTATTTTGAGGCAGGGTCTCTCTATGTAGCCCTGGCTGGCTTCCGAATCTCAGCTCTCCCCTCAGCCTTCCGGAGTGCTGAGAAGGCAGGAGTAGGCCATTCCATTATGACAGACTCCGTGTCTCATTCTTGATCTAGTTCTAGCTTCCTTTGCATCCAGCTTTTGTTCTTCTGAAATGTAGTCTCAAATGAGCTTTGCTTTTCCTGCACTTTATTTAGTGTTTTTGTACACGTGCACCCCCATGCCTGTATCTACATATGTCTGTATTGGTGGAACAACTTTAGGAGTCAGTTTTCTCCTTCCACCAAGTGAGAGACCTCAGTTGACCTTGGTGGCACGTTCTTTTTCCTTTTCCTTTACCCACTGAGCCAGTCATCTTGCTGGCTTCTAACTGACTCAAAAAAAAAAAAGCCTTTTTATTAATAAAGAAATACACGGTTCTAGGACAACTATGTTCAGAGAGGAATTAAAAGTTTAACTTAAGGAGGCTGGAGAGAAGGCTCAGCAGTTAGAGAACTTCCTGTTTTTGCAGAGGACCCAGGTTCAGTTCCCAGCACCCACAAATGGCTGTTCACTAAACTTTATAACTCCAGTTCCAGGGGACTCAATTCCCTCTTCTGGCTCTGTGAGCATCAGGCACACATGTGGTATACACAATACATAGATGCAGTCAAACACTCATAAGGTAAAAATAAATAACTTAAAAAAAAGTTTAGCTAAGATTTCCCTTTTCTGAAAGATTGTATAAAACTACCAGCCATGACAAATTGGCTTACATATTAGTAACTTATGATAAAAATAAACTATTTCCCTCCTTAGACATCTTCCCCTCTGTTGACTGTTTCTGTCCTTCCCAGTTTCCGCAGTCATTAAGTCCCAAAGAAATCACACAGAGGTCTACATTAATTATAAACGGATTGGCCTAGTATCTCAGGCTTCTTATTAACTCTTATAATTTATATTAGCCCATAATTCTTGTCTGTGTTAGCCACATGGCTTGGTACCTTTTTCGGCGAGGCAGTTACATCTTGCTTCTTCTGTGTCTGGATGACAACTGCAGACTGACCTTTCCTCTTCCCGGGATCCTCCTGTTCTCCTTGCCCTGCCCCTACTTCCTGCCTGGTTGCCCAGCCTCTACTTCCTGCCTGGCTACTGGGCAATCAGTGTTTATTTAAAATACAAGTGACAGCACCCACAGCACCCCTCCAATGCTGGGAATGGAATTCTGAGTGTGCTCGAAAGCAATCTATAACTGAAACTCCCAGGCTTCCCACAGATTAGTGGAGAATATTTACATTTAAGTATAGTTCATTTCTGAACAACAGCTGGACTTTACCTAAAAATATAAACTAATGTACTAGACTTCAAAATATAAGTAGCATTTAAATAACCATTTCCTGGTTTTCCTATCTCATTTTATTTGGACACAAAGTACAGTTGTAGACCAGAAATACAGCTCAACTATAATTAGACCAGAAACATAGTTCCATCAGAAGTACCCTTAAGGAATCATAGATATGTATGTAAATTATTACACAAAAAATTAATTACTCTATTTTTGATTAAATCAATGTTCGGACGGTAGTGTGAATAAAAATGGCCCTATAGGCTCATAGGGACTGGCATTATTGGGAGGTGTGGCCTTGTGGAGGAAGTGTGTCACTGTGGGCAGATTTTGAGGCTTTAGATGCTCAAGCCAAGCCTAGTGTCTCAGTTCTCTTCCTGCTGCCTGCTGATCAAGATGTAGAACCTCAGTTCCCTCTCCAGCACCATGTCTGACTGTGTGCCACCATGTGTCCTGCCATGATGATAATGGACTAAACCTCTGAAACTGTAAGCCCACACAATTAAATGCTTTCCTTTATAAGAGTTGCCATGGTCATGGTGTCTCTTCACAGCAATAGAAATCCTAAGATACATGGTACTAAATTGGTGGGCTGTATAAGAAAAATCAAAAAATCCCATACAAAGTTAGGCACAGTCATACACATCTTTAATCTATGCAATGAGGCCTAGTCTCAAAAATAAAATAAAATAATACCCTTGTGATATTTCATGTGAATAGGAAAGGAAGGATAAATATTTTTAGTGAGGAATGCTCCATCATGAAATCATTACATGATATTTATATTTAACGTCCTCCATTGCACTACATAAATTTAAGATTTCTATGTATTCACATAATAAACAATCTATCAGCAAGTGATTCCTGAGAAGATCCATTCAAAAGAAAGACAGAAGTTGAGAGCCAAAAATTTCAGTACTAACCTAACGGGCTATTAAAGAACATCTATATCTAGTTTTTTGGGGGGCAGGTTCAAAACAAAGGTTCTTTGTGTAACAGCCCTAGGTGTCCTGGAACTTGCTCTGTAGACCAGGCTGGCCTCCAATTCACAGAGATCTGCCTGCCTCTGCCTCCCAAATGCTGGGATTAAAGGTGTGTGCCATCACTGCCTGGCATATGTCTAAATATTTTTAATTTAAGATTTATTTTTTTGTTTAATGTGTATGAGCGTTTTGTCTGCATGTATGTATGTGCATCATATGCTTGCCTAATGCCGTTAGATGTCATAAGAGGGCGCCAGATCCCCTGAGACTCGTGTTACAATTTTAAGCCACCACATGTTGCTAGGAATCAAACCCGGGTCCTCTGCAAGAGCAGACAGTGCTCTTAATTGCTGAGCCAACTCTCCAATCCATATATCTAAGAAATTTTAAACCAAAATATGTATTTGTCAAATTTTGAATAAAAAAAATCTAGTTGTCAATTTTCCTAAGTATATTTCCAATTTCACATTCACCATTAATAATTACACAAAAGATGCAAGAACAACAATAAAATCTCTCTCTCTTTCTTTCTCTCCTTCTCTAAAAAAAGGGTCTCACTATGTAGTCCTGGCTAGCCTTGAACTCATAGCGATCCACCTGCCTCAGCCTACCAAGTACTAGGGTTATAGGTGTGTGCCACAATGCCTAGCCCAAAAAACCATTTCTGATGTTAACATTCTTGATCCTGATACTAGACAACAGCCAATCACAGATAAACTTTATTGAAGAATAAACTCTGTGTTCCAAGATGACCAAGCCGGATTGACAAAACTTTTTGTTTTAATTTTAGTTTGTTTGTTGAGACAGAGTCTCACTATGTAGCCCCCCCTGGCTGTCCTGGAGCTCTCTATGTAGACCAGGCCAGCCTCCAACTCACAGAGATTGAACCATCTCTGCCTCCTAAGTGCTGGGACCAAAGGTGTGAGCCACCATGCCCAAGCTAGTTGATAAATCTTAACTATACCTGATGTGAAGACACATCAATTACTCTATATTTTATCAAAAGAATACCCAAAAAGAAAAGGTAAAATTCATTTTCCCTAAGTGTATCAGCTGACTAGGTGGTCTGATATCACAAGTACTTTCTAGAATGTTGTCAATATTTTCATGTGAAAATACTTAATTTGGGGGAAATACCTTCAAAAGTTTTAGACAGATGACTAACCAAGTATTTGCTTTCATGCTTAGTTTTTCAGGCTTGACGACAAGGTAGCTATATAAAAATCACATCACTGCGCCGGGCGGTGGTGGCGCACACCTTTAATCCCAGCACTCGGGAGGCAGAGGCAGGCGGATCTCTGTGAGTTTGAGGCCAGCCTGGTCTACAAGAGCTAGTTCCAGGAGAGGAACCAAAAAAGCGACGGAGAAACCCTGTCTCGAAAAAATAAAAAAAAAATCAGATCACTGGAAATAATCAGTTATCTTATAAAGTAAGAACAGTACAGATAAAACGTAAAGTTTAAGAACAAGGAAAAGACAGGTTGGAAATACACAAACTGGTAATAAGAGTCTAAAACTTCAGTCTAGACAGATTTTGCATTTTAGAAAATATGAAGGAAGATAGAACATAGAAGGAAAAAATGGTAGAAACTGTGAAGAAATTCCATGTGATAAAGGAAATGCCTGTTTGTATCCACTTGACAATTATGTCACTAGTTTCTTTCATATTAGGTTTTCTTATATTTGGGGACCTTTCAAATTGGCAAAGGAAGATAAAAAATTATGGGATTTGTTATACCACAATAACAAGACAGTCCCCAATTATTATGGAAACTATACATTACTGATCTTGTGGATGAAGACAACTTTCAAATTTAGGGAACAAGGGCGATCACTTGGTAAGCAAACCGTTATGTAACACCTATTTCATGTTGCTCTCTCAGTTACTTTAGAAGCGCTGACTTCTTTTTCCTTTTTAAAGACAAGTCCTGCGCAGGCTGCCATTTTTTTTTTTTCTCTCTCAAAAGGCAAAACTGTTTTCTAAATCCGGATTTCCAGGTATATGCCAAGTGCTGCTGTAGGGAAACAGCGGCCGCATTCTAAAGATCTACCTTCTCACATAAGCAGGGATGCAGACTGAGAGAGCATCTCTTAGCGCCTCAGAGACTACATGCCACACTGCCACAGCCGCTGGGAATCTCGGATGCAAGCAATGCCGTCTTGCATCTGACGTTGCCCGGACACCAATTTCAAACTCAATCCCATCGGTTATCTCAGAGTATCCTCACGCTACTCTAAGAGGGGAGAAAGGGTGGTGACTGACTGTCCAGCCTGCATGGAACACGCGACCCGGTTAAAGGATATGCGCGGTCTTGAACATTTCCAGCTGGAATTACAAAAGCAAGGGCAAACTCCTCCATATCCTCAGGGGAGCAGCACTCTAAGGGATGACATCGCCGGGATAAACCCAAACTTCAACCCTCCGGGTAGTTTTGCCAACTCAGTGGCCTCCGGAGAGTAGCTGCAGGGCTGTGGAGAAGCCAACCGCGTCGGGCCCGAAAACCAGCTACTCCTTTCACTGACAGCACCCGAAGTGGAAGGAGCGAGGATGCTCAGGGGACACCCGTGGGGTAACGACCTCGCCCGCCCCGTCCGGCGGCCCCGACTCACCTGCGGAGCCGATTTCCATTCATGGAGCTGGGGGGAGTGCTTCACGAGAGAACGGTGCCGCCGCTGAGGCGACGAAGGGACGCCCTCGGGCCGGGCAGAGGAGCCGTTGTCAGGCGAGGACAGAGAGGGGCGTGAGGCGAGGACGCTGAACCCGGTCCGGAACTTGCGTCGCCCGCAGCTGCTGACGCGTGCACCGCTCGCTCCCCGACCCGCCGGCAACCGCCGTCGCCGCCGCCGCTCGCTCTCCCCGGCCGCCCCCGGAAGCACGCCCTCGTCAGTTCCGCTCCCCCCCACCCCCCGCGCCCCGCTCGCAGGGTCCGCAGCTCGCCCCGAGCCGGAGCCGCGCAGGCACGACGACGTCCACGCCGGCTCGGCCAGCGCGCCGAGGACTCTGGGGAGCTGTGGGCGGGCGAGCGGGCGCCCGGCCGGGGCGGAGCCGTGAGCGCGCGGCCGCCCTGCTCCCGCTGTGCCTGACGGTGACAATCTCCGGCGAGCGGCCGGCCTCTTCCCCGTGACAGTCTCCGGTCGGGGACCAGCCGGGACCGCTGTCTGAGGCGATGTCGCTGCCAGCCTGAGGAGCTCACCTGAGGGACAGCCTACCTGAGAGTGGCGGGTGACCATCCGAGGACATCCTCTGCCTCCTAGCTCCGCCTGCCACGCCCGCTTGGAGCACAGGCACTGGGCGGTAACCACCACAGGAGATTCGCTAAGTACGCAAAGTTGCTTTAACAACCTTTTTTTGAGGTGGATTAAAAATAAAGTCCAATATAGTTTTAAAATAAATGATTAAGAAACGGGACATTACCTGAGTACTGCAAGGAATTATTTCTGGTTTAAACACTCTGAATCCCCTTGAGGAACCTAAACTCCTTGCTGGCACTAAAACACCTAGCTAAGGAGCCCCCGTCTTTTCCCTCCGAACTCTTCAAGACTGTTTTACGACTAAACTGGTCCGCTTCCGGTTTGCCCGAACTGGTCAGGTGCTTTTCTGCTGAATTGGAGCCTTTGGGATCCCATGGCTAGGAATTCTCCCCTTCCCATCCCATGCCAAACTTTGACCTAAGTCTTCTCCAGCGGCCTTTCCTGGAACCACCGGTCTATGGTGGGTGACCCTGCTAGCCTTCCCTAGGAAACCTTTCTCCCGATGTCTAGGTTGTGGACTACTTTATGAACTGCCTCCAACCCATTAGAATGAATCTAACCCGGAGACTAGATTCAGCACTTTATCACGCAAGCAGTACATCCTTAAAAAAATACTTGGCTCAGTGAATCCAGATACTATTTTATGCGGGTTTAGCAAGGATTCATTATAATCCCTGGGTCCCAATGAATCAGTAATGTTTTGACTTTAAATACATGTGTGTATATACATATTTATATACATATATACATATTTTATTTTCATTATCCTTTCCCTCCCCATTAACTTTGGATTTAGTCACTTTATCTCTTTGAACTTCAGTTTTCTCATCAGAAGAATTGAAAGACCAACATATACAATGCACAGACAGTACAGAAGAAACCTCCCAAATGTTAATAAAAATCTTTACTATGGTTACAGTTTTGAAGCACTTAATGGATGTGCTTACTATATAATAAATGGAGGGGGCTCCAAGCCCATCTGATACAGCAATTCTGCCTTGCTTTCTTCTTCCTGTTGACTGAAACACCCTTCCTAATTTTAAAATATCAAATAACCAGATGCAGCACCACATCTTAAAAGGTAATCCAGAGGCCAGGCAGTGGTGGCACATGCCTTTAATCCAGCATTTGGGAGGCAGAGGCAGGTGGATCTCTGTGAGTTTGTGGTCAGCCTGGTCCACAGAATGAGTTCCAGGACAGGCTCAAAAACTACAGAGAAACTGTTTTTTGTTTTGGCTGGGGGGGGGGGTGTCATGATCTAAGCCTGAAGAGTAAATCCCAAACCCATGCAAGGGTCTATCATACCCTCACCTCTTGATTCTGGAACTAGTCCCTCAAATGAATGCCAGCTTATCTAGCTTCTTCCAGAAAACACGGCATAGTCACAGACTGAGTGGGTTTGTTTGTTTTATTTTCAATGTGTATGAGTGTTTGGTCTGCACATAACTCTGCACTTGGGTGTCTGATGCTCATGGAGGCCAGAAGAGAGTGTCAGATCTTTGGGACCAGAGTTAAGACAGTTGTCAACAGCTGTGTGGGTGATGGTAATGGAACTTAGGTCTTCAGGAAGAGCAGACAGTGCCCTTAGCCACTGATCTATTGCTCTAGCCCCAAGGTACCATCTCTTTGAACACTGTAACAAGATTTAGGCCTTTAAATTCAATAAAATCCAACAAGTGTCTATGATATGTTCCTATCTACTTCTGTTATGCAGAACCACACCTTTGTAGAGTAAGCCTGTGTGAAAGTCTCATGAATTAAAATTTAAAGCAGGGAAGCAAGAAGGAGGTTCTTTTTTTTTTTTTTTTTTTCCGAGATAGGGTTTCTCTGTGGTTTTGGAGCCTGTCCTGGAATTAGTTCTTGTAGACCAGGCTGGTCTCGAACTCACAGAGATCCGCCTGCCTCTGCCTCCCAAGTGCTGGGTGCACCACCATCGCCCGGCAGTCTTGGAGATTCTTGCCAAGGCAAAGATATGTGAGGCTTTCTGTTGACCAAACACTGTTCTGAGGTAACGCACTTCCAAAGGACACAAGGTTTTGTGTATCTTGTTAACTACCTCAGCTTCAGTGCCGAGAACAATGCTTATTGCTGCCCTATAAGAACACATTAAGAGCCGGGCGATGGTGGTGCACGCCTTTAATCCCAGCACTCGGGAGGCAGAGGCAGGCGGATCTCTGTGAGTTCGAGACCAGCCTGGTCTACAGAGCTAGTTCCAGGACAGGCTCCAAAGCCACAGAGAAACCCTGTCTCGAAAAACCAAAAAATAAAAAAATAAGAACACATTAAGTTAAAAAAAAAAAAAGAAGAGCACATTAAATAACTATTTGGATTGATGGATGGATGGATGGATGGGTGGATGGATGGATGGACGGATGGACGGACAGATGGATGGGCTTCAAGGACAGGGCACTGATTGTTCTCGGAAGGAAGAAGTATAAAATACAAAATCTCAGATGTAGAGAAGTCAGTGCTCCCTGAGCACTGAGCACCTCAGCGGCCACCAGGAAATGGAAATTTTTCTTTAAATACCATTCAAAAAGCATGAACTAATAAATTGGACATGAAAATGGGAAACTTTTTCCTATTCAAAATGAAAAGGCAAGCCATAGATTAGGAAAAATTAATATATGTAATATGCATATATGTATAATATATACACACATATATTATGCACAAATGTGATATACATATATATTATGCATATATATGATATATATCATACACATATTTCCAACAAAGAACTTGAATTTTATACCCCCCTACCCCCAAGACAGGGTTTCTCTGTAGCTTTGGAGCCTCTCCTGGAACTCACTCTGTAGACTAGGCTGGCCTCAAACTCATAGAAATCCTCCGATCTCTGTCTGCCTCCTGAGTGCTGGGATTAAAGGCATGCACCACCACCACCCGGTGAATTTTTAAAGTTTTTATAGCTCAGTGAGACAATCCAAATTTAAAATGAGTAAAATAGAAGAAGAATTTAACAAAGATATCAGGATAGCAAGTAAGTACATGAATACACGATCAACACCAGAGCAAAGCACAATGAAGTACCAAATACTCAGGGCACTCAAAGGATAGAGTGCCCAACTACCCACTTTAATAAGCAGGAAGACCTCAGAGCTCACAAGTGAGATGAAGAAGAGTGCTCACTTTCTTCCCATTGCGACTATTACTCTACTACCCATAGTGCATCTGTCCTCCACTACTTCCTGTGTTAGCTAAGACACAATCTAGAAAACGATAGTCTCTACCAGTGGTTTCTGCAATAATGACTTGGCACTTGCAGCGAACACAATATAAAACATGGGTTTTAGGATGCAAAGAGCCAAGACCAGAGGCTCTCTGCTTCTCACCATAAGCCTGGATATCCACTCTTCCTTCTTTCTTTCTTTTTTTTATTTTTTTTGGATTTTTGAGACAGGTTTTCTGTGTAGCTTTGGTGCCTGTCCCGGAACTACCTCTTGTAGACCAGGCTGGCCTCGAACTCCCAGAGATCTGCCTGCCTCTGCCTCCCGAGTGCTGGGATTAAAGGTGTGCGTCACCACCGCCCGGCTCGTTCTTTCTTTCTAAAAAATTTATTTGTTCGTTAACTATACAGTGTTCTGTCTGCATGTATGCCTGCATACCAGAAGAGGGCACCAGATCTCATTATAGATAGTTGTAAGTGACCACGTGGTTGCTGGGAATTGAACTCAGGACCTCTGGAAGAGCAGCCAGTACTTTTAACCTCTGAGCCTTCTCTCCAGCCCATCTGCTTCTTTCTTGTTAGACATAACTAACCTTCCTAATCCTTATGATTTAAAGGGTAACTCCCATCTAAGTCATATAAGAGGTCATTTTGGCTTTGCCAGTGGCATGGGAAAATAAGCCGATGAGACATAAAGCCTGAATTGCTAGGGCATCCAGGGGAAGATTTCCTTGTTTTAGAATGAAACACTTGAGAGGGTAGGGAAACAAGTCCTTCTGACTTCTACAAGAAATTGGTTTTTTTAAAAATATTTATTTATTTATTATGTATACAATATTCTGAAGGCCAGAAGAGGGCACCAGACCCCATTACAGATGGTTGTGAGCCACCATGTGGTTGCTGGGAATTGAACTCAGGACCTTTGGAAGAGCAGGCAATGCTCTTAACCTCTGAGCCATCTCTCCAGCCCCCAAGAAATTGTTTTGTCATCATTTCCTTCCTGGAATTACAGTAGCCATCCTGAGAGCAATTCATGAACCAACACTACAAAGGCTAGCAGAGCAAATAAATAAATAAATAAAAAGTAACCCGGTTCTTTGGTGTTGCATAGTGGCTTAACTAAATCAGAACTTCCTGTTGTGTGAAGCTATTTTCCTTATCTAGGTAATTCAGTCACAATTGTGTAACATGCAATGGAACATGATTACTATGAAGATGAAGATATACTGTATAAAACATTGGTCAAGTACTTCAAAGTAGCCATGCCCTCCAAGACCTTTCCCAAG